ACAGATACACACAAATACACACATATACATATAATTTAAAATAAAGCATTTAAAAATAAATAATTAAACAAATAAATATAAGCTGACTTCTAAAGTGCAGCTCTATAAGGATGATCCTCAATAGCAGGGTAGTGGGATGTCATAGTTCTTTTCCTTTCTTTTGTGCTATATCCAGCATCCATCATAACAGCGAGCATCCTGTATGTGCCAAATAGTTCCTAGAATGAATGACTATAAAGAGAACACATTACTTCTCCATATATATAAATGTAACATCTCAGAAATCATTCTAACTAAATTAGAGAAATGAACGGTGAGAGAGAAATGATAGTCTCTTGCCTGCAAGAGTAGATTACTGTTCTAAACATAGTAACCCAGAAGAAAAAAGTAGGCCTGAACCCCTAAAAACACCATTTGAATCAAGTTTGTCACCCCTTTCCTGTAGAACTTACTTCCTTTATGTGAGACTATATGACAAGCCAGTTTCCCAACTGGTATTACAAAGCGAGGGTGTGGAACAGGTGGTGTTAGCTGCCCATGGAGTAACTACACTCTTTGTACTTTAGCAATTTAAAAAATGTTCTAGGGGCTGGAGAAATGGCTCAGCAGTTAAGAGCACTGACTGCTCTTGCAGAGGACCTGGGTTTGATTCCCAGCACTCACATGGCGGCTACAAATTGTCCTTAACTCCAGTTCCAGGGGAATGTGAAACCCTCTTCTGACCTCTGCAGCATTGCACAACATGGGTGCACTCACTTACATGCAGGCAATACACTCATACACATAAAATAAAAAAAAAAATAAAAAAATAAAAATAAATGTTCTAATACTTTGGTAAACTGGCTAAAGGATGCTTTCCTTCAGGGCAGAATATGTTTTCCCAGCTTTCAATACTTCCCTTAGATTGATTCGGTATGTTAAATCTATAGCAATAAAAAAATGAAAAGCAGATGCTTTGTGTTAAGAAAAAGGCACTATGCACTTGGGAGGCAATGGCAGGCAGATGTCCGAGTTCGAGACCAGTCTGGTCAATATAGTAAGTTCCAGGCCAGCTGGGGCTACAAGGAGACCCTGTCTCAAAAAGGTAGAAAGGAAGGAAGGAAGGAAGGAAGGAAGGAAGGGAGGAAGGAAGGGAGGAAAGGAAGAAAGGAGGGGAGGGAGGGAGGGAGGGAAGGAGGGAGGAAGAGAGAGAGAGAAGTAATATTTTACTATGCAACAAGAAAGTCTTCAAGGTTTAAAAAGTTAGGAATCAGGGCTGGAGAGATGGGTCAGCAGTTAAGAACACTGGTTGTTCTTGCAGAAGACCTGGGTTTGAATCCCAGCACCCACATGGCAGCTAACAACTGTCTGTAACTCCAGTCCCAGGGGATCCGACAGCCTCTTCTGACCTCCGTGGGCACTGCACAACACGGGTCCACTTACCTATACGCAGGCAATACATGTATACACATAAAATAAAAATAATAAATAAAAAAAATTTAAAGAAGTTTTTTAAAAAAAGTTTGGAATAAAGAAAACTACAGCTTGCTACAGCTTGAGGAGTTTTCAACATAAGAAAAAGTCAAATGAACAAAGCAGAGATGGACATAAAATGTAAATAGTACTATGTGAGGGCCCCATTCAGATCGAGTAAAAACTAAAGCAGGCTTACGTAAGGTAACAATGGTTTGGCAGATGGGAGGTGGAAGAGGCTCTTTCAAGAATGAGATGACTTCTGCCAGTATGCCAAGGGATGTGGGAAAGGAGTGATACAGAGTTAAGGAAATGGATTTGACTGGTGGAGCAGAAGTACTGAGGGGGGGGGAGTAAAGAACTTTTACAGAGACCTTTTACTCTTTTAAAGAGACGTTAAAATATTCTTTCTAAATCCCCTGATTTTAGATGGGAAAAAGGAAACTCAAAAAGGCCATATCAATTTTACACAGAGCTAATGGGTAGCAATGCTGGCAAAGAATTCAGGTCTTCTGATTCTTTTTCATGAAGCAACAGGGAAAACACTGTCCCGGTGCCCTGAAAACATTTAAAAGAAATACTACTAAGTTTTCTTCAATTACCTCAGAAAGTTGCTGAGGTAATATAGCACCCAAAAAAGAGAAAATTATAAAAGGCACTACAGGGCCAGTAAGATGGCTCAGTGGGTAAAGGCACTTGCTACAAAGCCTGACAACTTGAATTCTATTACCCTATCCACATGGTGGAAGGAGAGAGGCCTCCGCAAGTTGTCCTTTCATGTACAGGTGGACATGGACACACACACACGCACGCACGCAACACACACACACACACACACGTGCGCCACATGCACACACACAGAGAGAAGTAAATCAATAAATATATGTAGCAAAGTATGTACTACAAAAATACATTACGCTTATATGAGTTGGATTTCAACAACCAAAGGAAAGATTGGAATAAAATAAAATAAAATAAAATAAAAGGCAGCTCAGGTAGTCTGTAGTTTCAACTACTAGGGAAGCTGAAGCAGAACACCTTCAACTCAAGAGTTTGAGGTCAGCCTGGTAAACATAGCAATATCCTGTCTCCTTTGAAAAACAAACAAAAAAGGAACCAAAAATTCAAATGAACTGGTAGTTTTATGAAAATGATCATGGTAACGTGTTCAGAACAGCACGAATTCTAAGGAAAGAAAATGGGGAGGAATTAGTAGGGGTTAGATCTAACAAAACATACATGCTGTCATACAGTTATGAAGATGAAAAGAGCAGCTGGCAAATCAGGCTGCTAGTACTTACAAAATTACTTCAAATTACAAAAAGATCAATTAAAATACATAACTAAAAAGCTGCACAAGTTCCAAGTGTAAGAAGTTCATGAGGTAGGTTTGGCTCATTGGTTTCTACCAACAAACCGCTGATGGATCTGTGCTCATAAAAACAAAAATAACAAAAGAAAGAATTCTGTTTTCCAGAGAAACGTGAACTTTGACATTTTTTTTCTTTCAGGAGGAAGTTCTGGTTTTGTTCTAAATCTCAGTACCAATCAATTTGCTCTAAAATCTGTAAAATACAATGTTCAGAAATAAGCTACCCACGAAGATACCACCAGCAAAACTCCTACTTGCCAACCAGAGCCAGAATATTTACATAATCTCATTTTCCATTTTCCTGGTCTGGCTAACTCCAATTTCAACCTCAGATACTTTACCAAAATATTCTTTAAGTCAAAAAGAGTATCTTAAAAATATGAATCCTGAGATAATTGCATACAAAGATCCCAAAATAACCAGCTGAATAACAGTGATTAGGTAAAATGAATTGTTAGTAGATTTTTTTAAATGTTTTACAGAAAGCTTTAAACTTTTATATGGAAAAAAAGCTGGCAGTGGTTTGCATTCTCTATAACCTTAACAAAAACAAAACAAAATCTTACAGACCATGAATCAAAAATAGCTTTACACAAACAAGAGCAAAACTGTAGGTTTTGCAGAGGGCATCAGCCACTTAATTTAACCCCACTTCATCTGGAGCAGGAAGCCATGCTACTGTTTTCATCAGAGTTACTAAGAAACAAGATAAAGGGCAGACTGGGGCAGCAGAGTCTATACTTGAAACTAGTATGTTGATGCACTGCGCACCACTGAGAATTTTCAAAGGTCGCTAAATAGACAAAAATGGGCATCTAGAGCTATCCTTAAATTAATATATACAACTGAGTCAGTGGTTGCGTAGAAAAAAGATTTACTGGAGCCTGGTGCTGTTTTTTCCCCCAGTTCCGGTCCCAGTCCCCCTCCCCAAACAGGAAAGAAAGCGCGCCCAGCATAAACACACAGGCCACTGCTCACTGTTCAGTTCGTCACAACAAACTGGGGGTTAGACCAGCGCTCCAGGAGACCCAGCCTCAGGTTACTCTGTTGCCAAGCACAAAAAGGGACTCAAACCTGTTTCATAGTGTGCGCTCACCCAAGTTTTGGTTGTTTCCCCACCTTTTCCCTTTTAAAAAAAAAAATTTAAACAAGGCTTTGAAAGTAGCGACAAGGCAGCAAAAGTTTCCCTTTGAGCATGAAGACCTCTAGTTCTGCCTTCCAAAGATATACATTTAAGTGGGCTGCTCCCTACCTAATCTCCACCATCATCACAAATTGCAAACCCAACGATTACAGAACACCGGCAGGGAGGATAGTAAAGCTTCCACACCCACCCCACCACCACGGTCTTCCGCAACACCCGGCCCCAAACAGCACGAGAGCGCCCCAAATTGCAGCGACAAGCACAGGGGCTGACACACACAGGCGCAAGCCTCAGTGCAGAACCTGTCCCTGCAGCCGGGGCAAACCCGCCGCGGCTGCAGGAGAGGCCAGGCGGGCCCCCATCACCTCAGGACAACAACGCGTTCGGGAGGGAAGTGGCAGGAGGCAGGGGGAGTTGCCCATTTCTCCCGGCACGCAGTCGTGGCTCGCGGCCGGGCGACAGCACCGCAGGGCAGCAGGATGCGGCGCCCCGGGCCGTGCGGGGCCTGCCAGGGAGGCGCCCACCGCAGGCCAGCCGCCCGAGGGAGCCCGCGCTGCCCGGC